AAGCCAACATTATACTTAATGGAGAAAGGCTGAGAGCTTTCCCCTTGATATCTGGAACAAGACAAGGGTGCCTGCTCTCATCACTTCTATTCAACATTGTATTAGAAGTCTTAGAAATAAGAAATAAAAGGTACCAGATTGGAAAAGAGGAAGTAAAATTATCTCTATTTGCAGATGACGTGATCCCATATATAGAAAATCCCAAGAGTCCTCAAGAAAACTTGTAGAGCTAATAGAGGAATTTAGCAAAGTTTCAGCGTACAAAGCCAATAAATAAAAATCATTTAGGTTTCTATATACTAGCAATGAGAAATCGGAAAGGGAAATTAGGGAAACAAATCCATTTACAATAGCATTTAAGAGAATAAAATACCTAGGAATAAATCTAACCAGGGACATGAAAGACTTATACAATGAAAAACATAAAACACGGCTGAAAGACATTAAAGAAGACTTAAATAAATGGAAAGATACTCCACGTTCATGGACTGGAAGACTTAATATTGATAAGATGTCAACACTACCTAAAGTGATCCATGGATTTAATGTAATCCTGATCAAAATTCCAACAGCCTTCTTCACAGAAATAGAAAAACCAATCCTCAACTTTATATGGAATGGCAAGAATTTCTGAATAGCTAAAGCAATGTTGAAAGAGAAGAAGAAAGTGGGAAGATTCACACTTTGTGATTTTGAAACATACTATACAGCTACAGTAATCAAAATAGCCTGGTACTGGTGTAACAACAGACACACAGACCAATGGAATAGAACTGAAAGTCCAGAAGTAAACCCACACATCTATGGTCAACTGATTTGTGACAAGGATGCTAAGTCCATTTGATGGGGAAGGAAGAGTCTCTTCAATAAATGGTGCTGGGAAAACTGGATTTCCACATGCAGAAAAATGAAACAGGATACATGCTTCACACCATACACAAAACCAAATTCAAAATGGATTAAGGAAACTAAATGTAATTCTTAGGAGAAAAAGCAGGGGCAATGCTGTCAGGCCTTGCTTTTAACAACAAATTATCTAATATAATAACAAAAGCACAAACAGCAAAATACAAAATAAAAGCGGGACCGGATCTCATAAAAATTACAAACTTTTGTTCATCAAAAGACTTCACAAAAAAAGTGAAAAGACAAGCTACTGATTGGGAGAATATCTTCGGAAACCATATATCTGACAAGAATCTAATAACCAAAATACATATAAAACTTCAACAATTTAACAACAAAAAGACAAATAACACAATCATAAAATGAGCAAAGGACCTGAATAGACATTTCACTAAAGAGGATATTCAAATGGCCACCAAACACATGAAAAGATGCTCAGGGCCATTAGCCATCAGACAGATGCAAATCAAAACCACAGTGGGATACCAATTCACTCCCACTAGGATGCCTAAGATAAAAAACAAAAAACCTCAGAAAATAACAAATGTTCGCAAGAATGTGGAGAAATTGAAACCCTTACTCATTGCTGGTGAGAATGTAAAATGGTAGTCACATGACCCAGAAATTCCACTCCTAGGTATATACTCCAAAGACTTGAAAGCAGAAACTCAGACTTGTAAACCAATGTTCACTGCAGCACTATTCACAATAGCCAAAAGGTGGAAACAACCTAAATGCCCATCAATGGATGAATGGATAAACAAAATGTGGTACATACATACAATGGAATACTACTCAGTCAGTAGGAAAAATGAAGTCTTGACACATGCTACAATATGGATGGAGCTGGAAGACATGCGGAGTGAAATAAGTCAACCACAAAAGGACAAATACTGTATGATCTCAAGTCTTTAAAAAGACAAGAAAAAGCAAATAGATAGAGAACAAAGTTTCTTAGTGGTTATCAGGGGTGGGAGGGATGGGGAAAGGAAGGTTAACGGTGATGGAAATATCTCAATGATTAAGGGCAGAGTTGCACAGCTGATTACCATAATTGCTGCCAGTAAGTTGTACACCTGTAAAAAATTTTGGTTCCTTGTTTTGGAGGTTTAGGGTCATGGTTTCATGGGACATCCCAGTTAAACTGGCCTAATAACCTGTTTAATGCTTCTGTCTCCTAGTTTGTTTCGTAGTGCCTGGGATCTTAAAAGCTTGCAAACAGCCATCCAAGGCACAACAATTGGTCTCTATTTGCCTGTAATAGACGAAGAAGTAGAGCCAGGAACAGGAGGAGGATATGGAATGTATGGCTAATTGCCTCCATGAACAACTGCCTCCTTTGCCATGAGACCAGAAAAACTACATGGTGCCTGGCTATTATTACTCAAAATTTTGATCAAAGATTCTATGGAAGAATCCTGATCAAAGAGGGGAAAATACATAACAGAATTTCAAATTCTTGTGGAATCCAGACTTCCTGAAGCCACGAACAGTGGATGAACCCCTGAAACTACTGCTGTGAGATAATCTTTAAACCTTAAACCAAAAACATCCCCTGAAGTCTTCTTAAAAATCAAACAACAGTTTAGCTTAACTAGTAAAAAATGTCTGCCTTGAGCATTATGCTCTTTCGAGAACTATCTATATGAGATCAGCCTGGTAACAGCAATTCAAAAAATTAGCCAGGAATCTTAGCGGGTAGTGAATTTATGTTAATTGGGGAGGAATAACTTAGAAAAGGAGGATGAGAATGGCTGCACAACTCGAAGAATGTAATCAATTTCACTAAATGGTACATGTAGAAACTGTTGAATTGGTGTATGTTTTGCTGTGTATATTCTCAACCACCACAACAAAATAAATAAAAGTTCTTATTATACAGAAGGTGAAACAGTATCACTTGAAGGTGGAGTATGGTAAGTTAAAGATGTATGCCATAAACTCTAAAGCGACCACTAAAATAACAAAACGGAGTTATATATAGCAAATAAGCCAACAAAGGAGATAAAATGAAAATAATAAAAATATTCAATTAACCCAAAAAAAGGAAAAAGATGGGACAAACAGAAAACAAACAGCAAGATGGGAGATTTAAATCCAACCATATCAATAATCAGAATAAATGTAAACGGATTAAGCATTCCAATTAAAAAGCAGAAACTGTCAGACTGGATAAAAGAGCAAGACCCAACCATACAAGAAACCAAACCAAACCTGTTGCCATCTAGTCAATTCTGGCTTAAACTGACCCTATAGGACAGAGTAGAACTGCCCCACAGGGTTTCCAAAGCTGTAACTCTTTATGGAAGCAGACTGCCACATCTTTCTCCTCTGGAGTGGCTGGTGGGTTTGAACCACTGACCTTTTGGTTGCAACCAAGCACTTAACCACTCTGCCACCAGGGCTTCCTTATACAAGAAACTCACTTTAAATATAATATCCTTTTACCTAAATTCAGTATTTTGTTTTAATCTAATAGAGATAGTGAATCAATTCTAATAACTGCATAACAACAAGTATAATCTTTTTTTTTAAATTGTACTTTAGATGAAGGTTTACAGAGCAAATTAGTTTCCCATGAAACAATACACATATTATTTTGTGACACTTGTTGCCAACCCCCTGACAAGTCAACACTCTCCCCTTCTCGACCTTGGGATCCCCATTTCCATTTGTCCAGCTTTCCTGTCCCCTCCTGCCTTCTCATTCTTGCTCCTGGGCTGGTGTGCCCAGTTTTTTTTGTATACATGGTTGAGCTATGTGTATTATTGTTTGTTTTATGGACCTGTCTAATCTTCGGCTGAAGGGTGAACCTCAGGAGTGACCTCAGTACTGATTAAAAGGGTGTCTGGGGGCCACATTCTCGGGGTTTCTCCAGCCTGTGTTAGACCAGTAAGTCTGGTCCTTTTCAACAACAAGGACAAACTTTATTTTTCTAGAAAATATGGACCACTATTCCACACCCCCACCCCCCGCTAACCTCCTTAGGCTTAACATATAATACCTAGAGAACACAGATTTTTTTAAATTCACATCAAAAAGAAATTCTACAGAAAAGATAATCAGTGTTTATATATTTTAAGACTTGCTATAAATTATGGCTACATGGTTATGAAGCCCTGGTGGCACAGTAGTTAAGGAAGCAGCTGCTAACCAAAAGGTCAGTAGTTCAAATCCACCAGCCGCTCCTTAGAAACCGTATGGGGCAGTTCAACTCTGTCCTATAGGGTCGCTATGAGTAGGAATTGACCTGATGGCAATGGCTTTTGTTTTTTTGGACATGGTAATAGCCTAGTCACAAGTCTTCTTTGTGACTGCTAATCTACTTTCTGAGAATAGTAATTACAGGTAGCTTACCCTAATGATCTTCTTAAATATCATTTTGAATTTTGTCACTCTCTCCTGAAATCTTCAGGAGGCTCCAGGATAAATTTCAAACACTTAGTTGGCAAGCAACACCCTCAAAAAGCTTACCACATATTCTGCTGTAAATATAATATACAACATCCTATTAACAACTATCAGGCTTTTCAAACTCTATTCCTGCCTAGATCACACTATCATAACTAATCTTGAATGCTCTTTTTTCTTCTCTCTCTTTAGGTAAATTTTCCAAGAATCCTTCCCTGACCAGGCCTTTTTCCCTTTCAACCCTTAGTACTCAACTGAACACACCCCTCATCTGACATAAATATGTATGGTTCTGTGGTGGTCCACCTCTTACACAGTTGTTTTGTCCTATTATTAAACTGATCCTTTGTTTATGGTGTATCTCCCCAACCAGTTAATATGCATATCCCACAGAGCTGAAAGGGAGAAATGAGGAAAATGTGTTAAGAATTAAAAGGAGTTAAGTTCTAAGTCAATGTATCATATGTAACATTTTATTCTAGGCCAATGAATTAATTTCAATTGTTTATCTTAAGGGCCAGTAATTACCAAAAGATGATGGGAAAGAATAAATAAACATGGTCATTTTTAGAGAGTAACTGTCAACATACTTAAGTTTCCTTCAAATAATGAACTATGCTCTTGTTGTGGTATGGTATGATGTGGTGCGTGTGAAGCAAGAGTGCGCCAGCTGTGTCACATACCTGCTCAGGGCAAATGGTGTTCATTCCTTGCATCTGCAAAGAGCTCATCTGCATCTGGCCCATCATGGGGTTCATGTTCTGAACATTTGTGTTTCCACCTGCCATGGACACGGTGATGCTCATATTGTTGTACACTCCTGGCTGTGCAGGTGTGGGCTGGTTCTGGACAGCTTGACTGAACACACTGTTAACTCAAAAACAATACAGATTACATCCACTGATCACAAACATGGATAATGTGACAGGGTTCTGATTCTTAATTATAAGATGGAATTCCAAATAAAATATTTTACATTCTTAAATTACATGTAAGACTGTATCTTATTACAATATACAAGGATTTAATATAATTCAGATACATTTTGAACCCTGTCCAAAGAAAGAGCTTAATGATTAGAAAGTGCTCATTTTAAGTTACAATTATCTGACCCAGTATCAGAGATACTAAACTCCAATTATCTGAAAAACTAAAGAAGGGAGTGTTACAGAAAGTAGATCATTAACTAATGTTTCTCCATTGAACCATTAAAACCAGTCTAAAATGTATTACACTACTTTATCTTCTTAAACAGACAATATGCAATTTAAGTAAAGTGTATGGCATATATATTACACACACACCCCCCAAACCAAACCTGTTGCTATCGAGTCGATCTGGACTCATAGAGACCCTACAGGACAGAGTAGACCTGCCCCATAGGGTTTCCAAGGAGTGACTGGTGGATTCAAACTGCCAACATTTTGGTTAGCAGCTGAGCTCTTAACCATTGTACCACGAGGGCTCCATATATTTATATACACATATATGGATTATTATATATATCCTCAATAAATGTTCACTGAATGAATTAACAAAGGAATGGAGGATTCAAAGACGGCACTCTTAAACTGTGATTGCCTATATATCTTCTTAGACTTAACATCTTGAGGGGAATGATATCTGGCTCTACTTATTCCTTGTTTCAGCTAGTAAGTGGCATATAGCAGGCATTCAGTAAATATCTGATGAATGAATTATGGGCAGTGAACTGTGAGTGAACTGACAGTGCTGTCAATTGAGGAGGCTCGGATTATTTTTATTTATAGATTTTACTGTATCTATACCTGTGTTTTTCAAAGTATAGTCCAGAGACCATCCACTAGAGAATTCCCCAGGGAACTTGTGGAAAATTGAGACTCCCAGGCCTCACCTCAGCCCTAGTAAATTAAATTCACCGGGAGTGGGTACGGAAAGCTTCATTTCTAACTATTTATGCACATTAAAATTTGAGAGCCTTTAATTCAACGTCCTACAGCTTGCTGTCACTTTTTAAGGTTTTAGCTTTTGGCTGCTTTAACTGTGTTGTAAACTAAGAAAAAACTTGGTGTATATAACCAGATGTTTTTATTTGGCTAATTTAATGTTTTTAAAGACCACAAAGGTCTCCTCAGGCCTGAAGGTAGACTTATGTCTTTCTCGGGAAGGAAACACAAGTGGAAAAAATTTTTTTTCCCCCAGAGGGCGTGTTTTCCTTCTTCACGGCCAAGTTCTGGACTGTTGTTATACCAAAGATCTCAAATGTAAAATAAGTTTCTATTAGAAGGTATGATAGTATGAAATAAACTTCAAAGAAATTTAACTTGAAACTTTATATCTGGACCCCTCACATCCCAATCCTCAGCAATACAGATATACACACCTAAGGGAAAAATAATACCAACTTTCATAGGTTCTGCACAACAGCAAACATTTTATGATAAAATGCTGATAAAATTCCACCCGTTTTAATGTTAATTCCAGAGAATTTGATTGAAAAAATGATTTACCCCACCAATGGCTTATCTTTTCCTTGCTTGCTCTCAGGTGGTAAGCATACTGTATTGACATTTATAGCTTCTGGTAGATTACGGTAATCACATTGAACTTAACAGGCAGAGAAACAGCCCATTCATCATGTCTGAAGAAAAGCAGCAAATTTCCTCTAGGGAATTATAAAACACAAATGCCCAAAGAAAATTATGTGGCTAGGAAATGGTGAACAATGCATACGTGGACTATGAATGTCTGTACAATGTGTATGCTTGGGAAGCTGTGTCCCTACAACTAAAGGGGAGAAAAAGTCTGTTAGTCTACTGCCCATTCTCTAATGAGAACACTTCTGCCTTGGACAATGTTCACTTGTCACCTGATACATAAGTCACCACTGGGGAGGAGCAGGCCTATGAAAGTTACCACGTGCAGAAGCTTCAAGGATGGCAGTGATGTCATACTTATTTTAAGAAGTTTAGAACTTAATTTCCTTTCAGATTTATATTTTGGACTGTAAATTAGCTTAAGTTCTTTCAAACTTCTGCCGACAATTCCATTTTAGTTTCTTCCATCAAGAAAAGTCAGCAGTCTCAACCACTGTTTCAGGTCCTGTAAAGGACTGCTGGGTTCACTGGCCCCTCAAGCCTAATGCTTACAGGACCCTCCTTCACTCTGCTTTCCCGTCTGCCCAGGGGCAGTTATCAAAGTGTTCTTAGGGTAACATCAGGTATTAGGCAGTCCCTAAATCATGGGTTGGGGGGGGTGGTAAGAGGAGGGGAGAGGGTGGGTGGAAAGAAAGATGAAGACTTTGCCCCCACGTAGGTTCCATAGATATTACAGGCATTAACAAGTGGGGAGGAGTCCCTGGTCAAGTAAGTCTCAGAAACAAAGGATTAAACAACAGGACTTCTTGGCTGCTGAATGCTTACAAGCACTGGGGCTCTCCCATGAGACTAGTGATACACATAAACACTGTCCCATTCCATGACAAATACGTTTGGTTAAATCGTTTCTCTTGCCACCATAGAGATAATGAAAAAGAGCCACATTAAACACTGTCTCTGAGCTCTATTACATCATTCTACTTAAAGATTCTCTAATCGTTTCATGTTCACATTCTCTTCTACCCACCATAAAACCCTCCCATCTACCACCATGGCTAGCTTGGCAGCAGGGGCTTTTCCTTGTGGTAACTGCACTGTGCAACAGACAGCGAGTAGTCACAAAATATATGCTGTCCACGTTGACTAATAAGCTTCTGCACATGAACCAAATAAGCAAATGTGAATGTTTGAAGAGTAGGTAATAATTATTTCCCAAACGGTCTGGGAAAATGAAAGTTCACAGAAACTATTAAAGTGCCACAAAAACCAAAATCCACATTTGAATCCAAATCCAGGAAGGGTAGTGCCTTAGGAAAAGGGAGTTTTTATACTCATTTATTCCACAGATGTATACTAAGTGCCTACATGTTCAGAAGATGGACATACAGATGTAAACAAAAACACAGTCCTTGCTTTTATGGCACTTCTACTCTAGTTGGGGAGCCCTGATGGAGCAGTGGTTAAGAGCTCGGCTGCTAACCAAAAAGTCATCAGTTTGAATCTACCAGCCAATCCTTGGAAACCCTATGGGGCAGTCCTACTCCGTCCCACAGGGTCGCTATGAGTTGGAATCAACTCAATACCAACGGGTTTGGTTTTTATTCTAGCTGAGGAAGACAGACCATAAGTAATCAGGCTGACACACAATATGTCAGGTATTAAGCACTATGAAGAAAAATAAAGCAGGAAAAACAGGAACCAGGAGTGGGAAACAGCATTATTTTAGAAACGATGGTCAGGAAAGTCCTTTCTAATAAGGTGACATTTAAGGAGAGACTTGAAGTGTGAGAGCACACCATGTGGCTACTGGGGGGAGAACATTCTAGCAGAATGGAAAAAATGCAAAGGCTCTGAGTTTGCAATGTACCTGGCACATCTAAAGAACAGAAGAAAAAGAGAAGTCAGTGTGATAGAGTGAGTGATACAGAGAATAGTATATGAGGTCAGAAAAGTACCCAGGAGCAAGATTATTTGGGGCCTTAAAGGCTTTATATTTGAGTATGTTGGGGGCTATTAGAGAGTTTTGAGCAAAGCACTGACATACTGCCTTAAGTTTTAAAAGCATCACTTTGGCTACCATGTGGCAATTAGACTGTAGCGGAGCTAGGATGGAAGCAAGGAGACAGGGGGCTCCTGCAATAATTGAGGAAAAAGATAATGGTGGCTTGCACCAAAGTGTACAAGTGGAATAGGTAAGAAGTGAGAGCTGCTAAGAAGCTGACATGATTTGCTGATGGGTTTGATATGGGATGTGAGAGGAGGAGAGATTTTTCTTCTGAATAATTGGAAGAATGGATTTGTCATTTACTGAGATGGGGAAAAGTAGAAGAGGAGCAGGTTTTGGGGAGAATATCACTTTAGTGTTTGTCATGTTAAGCCTGAGATGCCTACTAGGCTTCTAAGTAGAGATGTCAATTAGGCAGTTGGACACACAATATGCTGTTCAGGGAAGAGCTCTGGGTTAGAGATTTAAATTTGGGAATCATAAGTATAGAGATACGCATTTAAAGCCATAAGACTGAATGATACAACCAAGGTAAATCTGTTGCCGTTGAGTCGATTCCAATTCATAGTGACCCTACAGGACAGAGCAGAACTGCCCCACAGGGTTTCCAAGGAGTGGCTGGTGGATTCGAACTGCCAATCTTTTGGTTAGCAGCCAAGCTCTTAACCACCAGGGCTCCACAATCAAGGTAGCAAACAAACATAGAGTCCTAGAATGAGCTCTAGGACCCTCAAATGGAGGTCAGGGACATGAGACTAAGACGTAGGAGACCAGAGGAGAGTCATCTTTCTGAAAAGAGAAAGTTATCCCAATAAAGAAAGAGCTAAAGAATAAGTGCTTAAAAATGTCAAATGCTACCGATGATCATTTGCCCATGGCACTACAGAGGATGTTTAACAACCCTGACAAGAACACTTTGATGGATTGGTTGGGATGAAAGCCTGCATGGTTGAATAAGGAATGGGAGGAGAGGAAATGGACAGAGGATAGTCTTTCAAGGAATTTAACTGTAAACGGGAGCAGAGAAACAGGCTAATGAGACCCGTCAGCAGGACTGTGTGTTTCTGAAGTCATATTTAAATGCTTAGGTGTAGGTACGGGGCCAGAGTTTAGTGCAATTTCACATGGAGAGTTTGCCAGACACAAGTACAACAGAGGGAGAGCTGGGTAAGCAGTTGACAGTGCCTGTCAGGGAGTAATCATAACGATGAACCATGGAATCTAAAGTGAGTTTGCAAAGTTGGGATTAGAACACATTAGGAGACTAAATTCTTCTTATATGTTACAGAGGCAGTTCCATTTCCACCTAATTTACAGATGGTCTCACTGCGCGCTACACAGTTCGCTAACAGAAAGATTTCCTCTCTCACCTTTCAGTGAACTTCAAGAGAATACAGCCTTAAGTTTTCAACTTTAACTGCCTTACTTATTATGTTGTCAGATCAAACGGCTTCCCTGTCATTAGAACTGAGAGAAATCAAACTAAAACCCTTATAAAACTCAAGCGATGTGTGAAAAGTTCAGCAGCCAAGATTTTTTAGGGGGAAAAAATGACTTTAGTGAGATACTTCTAAACAAAGCAGGCAGAATAAGACCACTGAAAATCTAGATTCAAAGACAAGTAAGGCAGAATAACCTGAGGAACCCTAAAACCTTTTATTGTTACATCTTTCAAACATACTGAAAAGAGTGAAACCTATGTGCCCACTACTCAGTTCTACTGAATTCTAACATTTTGCTATTCTTACTTCAGATGTTTAAGTGCTCTTTTAAAGAAAGACTTTTTAAGAAGTACCTATTTCTACATCTGTCTCAGGGAACCTCTGTTGTTGATATGAGTTGAGTGAGATGGTTGGGAGCCACTAGACCACTTTTCTGTACTGTAAACGCATAAATTTACCTTAAAAATGACTTGATCCTTGAAGAATTTAAAAATCATTTTTCTTTGCATTATAGTTTCTTGCACTATGCAAGCAGCAGTAGCCAATAATCTTTTACTTGGACTGTGAAAATACAATCAGCCCATGAAGGAATGGCCGTTATGTGCTGTAGAGATGCTCATACATAAAATGGCCCCCTTACTTGCTGTTTCCCATTGCTCCTTGCTGCCAGGCCTTCATGTCTGGTGGCTGGTAGCCAGAAGTGGGTGGAGTTTGCTGGAGCAGAGAGCTTTGAGGAGGAGGGATTGGCATCTGCACCATGGAGCTCCCAGGGCTGAGAGATGGAGCGAAGTTGGCCTCTCCTTGGGAAACCATTCCTGCAAATTGACACAAATTAATTTATGTGAATACACTATAGATTTATTAACCCCATGAAAGAACAAACCCACAAGGATGGGTAATATATTTAGAAATATCCTATTCAATAAAGTGGGGAAAAATGTAGTTCCTTAAAAATAAGGCAGAATTTTTAGTATAAACAGATAGACAAATGCATACACATATAAAACAATTCTCAAAGAATGCTTTCCATTCAGTAGATGTTGATTTGGGCAGCAGGATTATGTACGATTTTTTTTCCTGTTCTTTTTTGCTTACACAAGATTTCAAATTTAAAAACCATATATGAACATACATGAAGGATTACTTGTATAGTAAAAGTAACTCAAGAAGCAAAAATATTAGGTGTGAAATTAAAAAATGAGGAAGTTTTGTTTGGTCACTTCTCCCTCGTCTTTTCTGTGGGCTCTTCCTCCCTTTCCTGTCCTTAAAAAAGAGACAAAACAGCTTTATTGAAATATAATCTCAATACACAGCATGGAATTCACCCACTGTAGATGCACAATTCAATGACTTTTGATAAATGTAGAGAGTTGTACAACCATCACCACAATCCAGTTTAGACATTTTCATCATCCCCTGAAGTTCCCTTGTGTCTGTTTGTAGTCAATTCCCGTTTCCACTTCTACCCCAAGCAACCGCTGATCTGCTTTCTGTCTCTACACATTTGCCTTTTCTGGAAATTTCATATAAATGAAATTACATGTGGTCTTTTGTGTCTGGCTTCTTTCACTTAGTGTAATGTTTTTGAGGTTCAACCATTTTGTAGTTTTGTATCAGTAGTGTGTTCCTTTTTATTGCAGGATACTGCTTATAAGCAGCCATCAACATATCTTTCTCAAAAGTCCTAATTGACCATATACGTAAGGGTTTATCTCTGTACTTTTTATTTCTGTTTCAGCGATCTGTATGTCTATACTTGTTCCAAAGCACAAAGTCTTCACTGTTGCAGCTTTACGCCAAGTTTTGAAATTTGGTGTTCATTCAACTTTGCTTTCCTTTTTCAAAATTGTTTTGGCTACCCTGGGTCCTATGCATTTTTATATAAATTTTAGGATAAACATGTCAATTTTTTGAAAAAGCATGTTGGGATTTTAATAGGGACTGTATTGAGTTTGTAAGATCAATTTGGAGCAAATTACCATTTTAAAGTCTTTTTTCTCTCTGATTTCATTGTGGATAGTTTCCATTGTTATATCTTCAAGTTCGCTACTTTTTTCTTCTGTAATTTCTAATCTGCTGTTTATCCCAAAAAGTATTTTGTACTTTTCATCTGTAGAAGTTTGATTTTGGCTTTATTTATATCTTCCATGTCTCTACTTAACACGCCCAAGCGTTCTTCTAGCTTTTGAACGTAGAGAATAAATGTATAGTTTATAACTGTTTTAATGTCTCTATCTACTAATTCTATTATCCGTGTAATTTCTGGGTTGGTTTTTGATTTACTTATTTTTCTTTTCATTATAAGTTACATTTTCTGGCTTCTTTGCATGCCTGATAATTTTTTATCAGATGGCAGACCTTGTGATTTCTACCTTGTTAGGTGCAAGTTTTTTTTTTTTTTTTAAATTCCTTTAAACATTCTTGACCTTTGTCTGAGTTGTGGTTAGGTTACTTAGAAACTGTTTGATTCTCATGGGTTTTGTGCCTTACTTTGTTAGGCGAGATAAGAAAAAACCCACTGCCATCAAGTCTATTCTGACACATAGTGACCCCACAGGACAGAGTAGAACTGCCCCATAGGGTTTCCAAGGAGCACCTGGTGGATTCGAACTGCTGACCTTCTGGTTAGCAGCTGTAGCTCTTAACCACTATGTCACCAGAATTTCCAATGAAGTAGACACTGGAATGAAGTTATCATCTCCACTATACCAAAAAGGAAACTAAGTCACAGAGTGGTTACGTAACTTGCTCAGGGTTACCTAACTAGTTTGTGGTAGAGCTGGGATTTGAATCCAGGCATTCTAGCTCTGGAGTCTGTGCTTCTCTAATTTTTATATCTCTTCTTGTAACTTTTTTTTTGTGGTTAGATTACTTAGAAGCTGTTTGATTCTCATGGGTTTTGTGTCTTACTTTGTTAGGCGAGATAAGAGCCGGGCATATTTAGTCTAGTGCTTATTTTTCCCTATTACTGATGCAAAATCCTTCTGTATATTCTACTTGATACCTCATGAATCATGAGGTTTTCCACTCTGACTGGTAGGAACAGGAACTATTTCTGGCCATGCATGAGCTTTGAGGATTGTTCCCTCCAATCTTTTAGGGTGGTTTTCCTTGGCTTTGGTTTGTTTACATGCAAACACACACACAGACACAGACACACAAAGACACACACAGACATACACAGACACACACACACACAGACACACACACACACACACACACACACACACACATGAGCCAGTACTCAGCTGAAGACTTGAGCGGGACCCTCTGCATATCCCTTGAGTTCTCTGTGTATCTCCTCTCTGGTACTCTGCCATGCAACCTCTAGCTGCCTTGGCTTCCCCAAACCCCCACCTCTACCTCCTCAACTTAGGGAAACTGCCTGGCTCCTCTCAGATTCCCTTTCTCTGCAGCACAGTCTAGAAAATCTCAAAAACTGTTGGTTCATGTACTCCGAATGGCTTTTTTGTTTGTCTGTTGATGGGAGGATAAATCTAATTCCTGTTACTCCATTTTGGCCAAAGTGGAAGTCCATAAGAATTTAAAATAGTGAAAATTGGTTTCTTTTTATTTATTTTCTGTTTTGCTAGTACTTTCTATTCTTTTTTTTTCTTTCAGTAAAATATATTTCAGTTAAATACTTTTGAGGCAGAGAAAGTTACAAAGGTGCAGAAAAAAGAATGTCATAATTTGATTACCCATAATTTAGTATAATTCCTTCAAATCTTCCTCTATAAAATGTTACATAACTTTGCATTCTGCTTCTTTCTCTTATCATTATATCATGTTTCTATGTCCTGCATGTCTCTGTAGACACAACTGCATGTGCTTGTATAGGATCCTCCTGTGTCCTGTCATGGTTAATATAATGAGTTTTCTCTTTTGTGTTTGGTTAATCTGACCAGAGATATAATTAATTTACTCACTTTTTTTCCTTGAAATCATTTAAAAAATATTTAAAAATTTCTGTGAAAGTTAAGCCAGCTGTAGACTTTCTATAGTTTCTTCTTTTTTTGTTTCCTTCACTAAAAGCTTAACAACTTTTTTGTTGTGGTAAAGTATATAAATAAATTAGCTACATATTGTCTCCTTGCTGCTTCTGTTGTGTATGATTTAATCTCTGGCAAATAACTTAAAAAAATTTTTTGAAATTGTAGTTTAGATGAAGGTTTACACAGTAAATTAGTTTCTCATTAAACAATTAATACATATACTGTTTCATGACATTGGCTGCCAACCCCACGACACGTCAACACTTTCCCCTTCTTGACCTTGGGTTCCTCATTACCAGCTTTCCTGTCCCCCTCCTGTCTTCTTGTCCTTGCCCCTGGGCTGGTAGGCCCATTTAGTCTCATTTTGTTTTATGGGCCTGTCTAATCTTTGGCTGAAGTGTGAACCTTAGGAGTGATTTCATTACTGAGCTATAAGGGTGTCTGGGGGCCATACTCTTGGGGCTTCTCTAGTCTCTGTCAGACCAGTAAGTCTGGTTGTCGTCGTCTTTTTTTTTTTTTGGGTTAGAATTTTGTTCTACATTTTTCTCCAGCTCTGTCTGGGACCCTCTATTGTGATCTCTGTCAGAGTAATCGGTGGGGGTAGCTGGGCACCATCTAGTTGTGCTGGACTCAGTCTGGTGGAAGCTCTGGTAGTTGTGGTCCATTAGTTCTTTAGACTAATCATTCCCTTGTGTCTTTGGTTTTCTTCATTCTCCCTTGCTCCAGACAAGGTGAGATCTGGCAAATAACTTTGAAGGAGCCCCAGTGGCACCATGGTTAAGTCCCTGACTGCTAACCAAAGGGTCAGCAGTTTGGACACACCAACCGCTCCGTGGCAGAAAGATGTGGCAGTCTGCTTCTGTAAAGATTTACAGCCTTGGGAACTCTATGGGGCAGTTCTACTCTGTCCTACAGGGTCGCTATGAGTCAGAATCGACTCGATGGCAATGGGATTTTTGGGTTTAAATGACTTTGACTTAGACTATCTGGAGAAATATATATTTTGTTTTTATGACCTTAGAGGGGTTTTTCCCCCCATGATCTTCGTTTTTATGTAGATTGTATTTGCATTAATTCTACATTTTTAACTATTTTGGTTGTGATTCTTAAAAAATACCTGTCTGTTCTTAATCCATTTTAACCTCATGATGAAATAATTTCTTTCAGAAACAACATATATGTGAGAGGAAAAGATACTTATCATATTCTGGATATTATTCTGTGGGCTCAAAGTTAATAAGTGAGAGACTCCAAGTACATCAGCATGCTTTCTGACATTTCTTTCTGGCCTCATTGCACATTCTAACCACTCATGTCTTCCTTATCAGATGACCTGGTTTTAGTAGAAAGAATAAATCTACAGGTAATGAACTGGAGGGGTAGTTAGAGTTCTGGTCCCAATTCTACAACTATACTGCATCTTGGGTTCCTTGGATCAGGCAATCTAGTTCCTTCTAGCTTAAAAATTCTACAATTCTAACTTTGTCTAGACTACGTTAAGTTTCCCTGCTGGGCCATAACTGGCATCACAGCCATTTGGAAGCAGCAACTAGTATTAGGATTCATACTTCCATTCATTATTTCTTCAAAGACTCATTCAGCATCTACTCTCCTATGCTAAGCACTTGAGAAACAAAAATTTAAAACGTCACACTTTGCTCACTCAAGGAGACTGTTATTTAAAAAGAGGAGCAGACAGGTTAACAAGTGGTTATAATATAGGGTGGTGAGTGCTTGTGATTAGAAGTGTCAGGGAAGGCTTTCCAGAGGAGATACCTCTGAGAGGAGAGAGTAACGGGAATGAGACAGGTGAAGGAAGGATATTTTAGGCAGTGGGTAAAGGATGTACAAAGTCCTAGAAGTAAAAGAGAGCAAGGTGCTCTTTCTCAGAACTTGAGAAGTTTGTTATGGCTGGTACACAGATATAGAGGGAAGAGAAAGTGGAGTTGATGAGTCTAGCTTTGGACAAGTTGAGTGTGGGGTACTGGTGGGATATTCAAGTATGTGTGTTCAGTAGGCAGCTGTACCCATGAGCCAAGAGATCTTGCTTAGAAATCGTGAATGGGGTAATTAGCCTGTAGAGGTCACTAAAGCCACAGGAGTAGATGAGATCACCTAGGAGGAGTGGAGTAGGGTGTTTACCATAGTTCACAGAAGTGTCCAGACGGACTTCAAGGAATCCATGAAGTGGGTACAATTTTTTTTTTAGTTTCTTTCATATTTACTTTGAATATTGCCTTTGAAAAAAAATTTTTTTAAAATATCTAATTCTGTTCTTGTGCACTCATTATCAGGGCATGATAGTCTAGCAGAATTTTGTTTTCAGAAATAAAACATACTCTGCCAGTACTATTACCTACATATTCCTTCATTTCCTTTGATTTTACTGTCATCAATTAACACAAAGAACAGCAAACTTTTTCTGCAAAGGGCCAGATAGTAAATATTTTAGGTTTTGCAGGTCATAAGGTCACTCTAACAACTACTCAACTCTGCTGTGTAAAACCAGCCATATACAATATATAAACAAATAAGCATGGCTGTGTTCCAATAAAACTTTATTTACAAAAAACTGGAATTGGCCTGGATTAGGCCAGACCATAGTTTGCTGAAACATGCTGGGATACATATCTTTTAATTTTTGTGGGGCAAATTTATCGGCAGTGGAAGTATAAAACCAACAAAGACCAAAGAACCCTTATATTTGAATTTCTTTAAGACACAACAAATAGTTTTTTTTGTTTGTCTTTTTAGAAGGCTTGATTTGAAAAGGTGGACCTTTTCCAGAAATCGAATTTGTACCAACACAAAACCTGGTCTCAGAGTCTTCTACCAGGTTGCTGATCATGTTGAAACAGATTTCTGGGGTAGAACAGTGGAAGAAATTAAGAACTCTGCATCTTTAAATGTTCTTATCCTCTCCAGAAAAACTAACATTTTTTCCCCTACTATTTTGAGGCAGTTGACAGAAGAACTGATAGCTCCACCATTTCATTTCAGTATGTAACGAGATGAAACTACTGCTCTCTTCCACTGTACCCAGCTTCTGGTTTTTGTAATATGAATGTTAACTTTATTAAAGAAAACCTCTTATTTTTTGAAAAGTATTTTTGTCTGTCAAGAGTTGGACGGGAAGAAAAATTTAACAGAAGTAGATTGCCAGGTCTTTCTTCTACAGTGTTGCTGGGTGGATTCATATGGCCAACTTTTCGGTTAATAGCCAACTGCAAACCATTTGCACCACCCAGGGACCTATCTGTCCATTGTTGTTGTTGTTGTTAGGTGTCGTTGAGTTAATTTTCAACTCATAGTGACCCCATGTGACAGAATAGAACGGTCCCATAGGGTTTTCTAGGCTGTAATCTTTATGGGAGCAGATCGCCAGGTCTTTCTCCCACGGAGTCACTGGGTAGGTTGGAACTTTTTGGTTGGAACTTTTTGGTCTGCAGACGAGCATTTAACCATTGTGCCACCAGGGCCCTTATCTGACATCTGACCATTACAGCTAGTTAAATACAAATTTCCAATTAAAATTCACACAGAATTAACTAAGAAAAGTCAAAGAAAGTATATATTGATTATTATTATAATTTAGGCCATGAAACTGTAAAGAGAAACATAAAAACCATGAGGAAGAGGAAGAAAATGTGCATGATGACTTCTGTTTTATCTGATACTAGGTTATCAGGAGACCTTGTTCTTTCTTATTTCCAAAAATTTACTGTGTTTCTATTTTCCCCCTTTCCTTACTGAAGTCATCTATTCCATTTTACTTAAATGAATAAAGTGCAGTTACAGGAGATTTTAATTTCTTCATTATGCTTTTCTGCATTGTTTAAATTACCTACAATGAACATACATGACCTTCGCAATCAGAAAACCCTACAAATACCATTAGAATAGGAAGAATCAGAAATTCAGGATCCAATGTCAAACAAATTATCACTTAAAAAGAAAATAATTATCACTTAAAAAGAAAATAATTAATTAGAAATAAAACAATAAATGGAAAGAAATGGGAACAGTTTACATCATTATTGCAGTGACACATTACTCCAGGCATTAGAGTATGTCTTCTTTCCCGGGAAGAAAAATCTAGGTACCAGATAAAGCACTTATGATGGTGGCAACATCTGGTTACACTGCCTATATCTCAACTCACTGTGTTCTTTAGTGACATGGACAATGATCTGTGTTAAAGTCCACAGATCAAAGACTAGACTCATAACCCTGAAAGAAATCTTGTCAGTATCATCAAAATCAGAGCTTCAAAGCATTATCTTTCCAAGTGGCTTCGTCAAGAACAGGAGCAGGATGTGAAGGTCTCCTTTTTTGGCTTTCCAGAGAGCAGACTTTAAAGTGTGTGACTGAAATTTGACAGAAGTACTTTCTAATTTTTTTCATTGGCTGATTTTCAGAAGTAGATCATCAGGCCTTTTGTCCTACTCGGTCTTAGTCTGAAGCTGTGCTGAAACCTGTTTAGCATCATAGTATCCACTGACAGATGGTGGCTGTGCATGAGGTACACTGGCTGGAAATGTAACCTGGGTCTCCTGCATGGAAGGTGAGAATTCTACCACTGAACCACCAATGTTCCTCCTATTTAGTTTCTTTTAAGACAAAGAATCCTTAAATAATTTGATGGGATTTATTAATGTTCAGCTTACTTATAGTTAGTCTCCCCACTCCCCCATGAATGAGATAAATCTTTTTTTTTGACCTAAATCTTTTGATTTAAGGCTCTGCAATCAAAATCACGAATACTACTAAAATTCTATTTGCTATTTTGGTCAAGCTGTCATTTTGGAAGAGGATCTGGGAAGCAAGTAATTATACAAGTCTTCTAATGTTGGAGGAAATACTTCTGCAGGCTAAAGTAAAAAAGCCTTGTCAAATTCTTTGCATACAGAAACCTTAAGACAAATGGAAATACAAGTGTTTTGAAGGCCACTCTTATTCAGACAACCTTGTAATTAAAATATCCTTTTTTTGCTCACACAGTGTCAGTAATATAAACCAGCCAAAGATGACTTCACTGTCTTGAGGACAAAGGAACTGATGTGGCATAATTTTGATTAAAATGTCTTACAGAATTCTGGTGCTCTCTGACACAAGCCTCCCTAGATACCTAATTTAACAGTCAAAGAATTTTAGCACTTGTTGCCATCAGGATGAAATGTCTAAATTGATTAGGCTGTCAAAGTTGATAAGCATACTGCCATGTCAAAAATCTCTACATAACTTCAATTTTTTATTCAAGTCAAACAGCAGCCTTCTCATTGAAATTCATTTTTAAGCAGCCTTGAAATTTACTTTTTGTTTCACTTATACAATCAAGGGATTTATTTCAGGAATTGGCCATTAATCTTGCATAAGAGTTTGATTAGACATGGTAGATTAATCATATGTGTTTTATCATCTCTACCTACTAGAATCTCAATAAAACAACAGAAAAGGGATTAAAAAAAAAAAAAAACCACTTAGGACAAAGAGAATAGAAGAGAGACAGCGCAGATAAAAGATCAAAAACAAAAATAAAACACTTTTGAAGACAGGAAGTTGACTGATCTTGCAGGGGAGGTTACACACTAAGCAGTAAGAGTGGTGACACCAACAAGGAGTCTGAGATCCTGTTCTTTGTGAAGACTGATTATCCCTATGTAAATTATCAAAAACAAAATCTCCATGACAATGAAAAAACTGTAAACTTAAACCCATTGTCTGTGGAGGACTTCCATTAGATTTTCATAGGGATCCCTGAGAAAAGTAAGAAAATAAGAGAATGTGCTTTACACATGTTGTTGCTGTTTGTTGCTGTGTAGTCGATTCTGACTCATTGCAAAATCATACGTGCAGAGTAGAACTGCTTCATAGAATTTTTAAGGCTGTGATCGTTCAGAAGCAGATCACCATGCCTGTCTTCCATGGCACCTCTGGGTGGGTTTGAACCACCAACCTTTTAACTAGTAGTCGAGCGCTTACTGTAAGACTTTAGAGTCAAATGGGCCCTTATGGATCCTCTAATTTAATCATCTTTGCTATCTAAGAGGGATAGCTTTCAACTCATTCAATCACTCAGTGACAAGAGCTGCTGGATCTCCTGACTCCCAGGGCAGTGTCTTTCCTCTTCGGCACACTGTCTCAACATCAGTGAACTGAAATACGCATGAAAAGAGACCTGAGCCTGTATGTATTACTTTATAAAACTAGCATCGAGTTGTGATCCTCATACCTGATCCTGGATACTGGAAGACATTCTGCTGCATCTGAGGACTGATTCCAGTGCCAAACTGTCCTCCCATGTTTCCTGTCATGCCTCTGTTCACCATGCTGCTGCGGTTGGCCAAGGATGTCTCAGGATTTGCTGCCAGTTGTGAAAATGGGCTAGTAGAAGCAGGTGGGGTTCCTGGATTTGTACCATAATTTGGTGGGTAGGGGAATTGCTGTGGAGCACCCTGAGGAAGACGGGGGTTCCCCATTTGAACTGGCAGTCCAGATGAGGGAGGGAGGTTGTTCCCAAAGCTTTGCTGCCTCATGAGCATGGCTCGCTGCTGCTGTATTAGCTGCCTCTGCCGGTGCTGCTGACTGTACAACTCCCGCTGGCGCTGTGCCAACATTTGGGCATTTAGGGGTGGCTGCAACAGAGGAAAAAACCCTCACTTATTAAAATTATTATGATCATTACCTATCTTGAAAAATTTCTGAGATAAAGCCTAGCATCTTGAGTCAACAGAATATGTAGCAATTATCAGTATACAGGGGAAACTAAAACAGAAAAGGAACAAAAACCTCTTAATACTGACAAAAGAGAGAATTAAGTACATTTTATAGATTAAAGGTAGATGAGAAATGCTGAAACTATATCTCACCATTAAACCCAAACCAAATCCCTTGCTGTCAGGTCAGCTGTGACTCATGATGACCCCCATGTGTGTCAGAGTAGAACTGTGCTCCATGGGGTTTTTCAATGGCTGTAATCTCATGGAAGTAGATACCCAGGCCTTTCTTCTGCAGTGTTACTGGGTTGAATCGAACAGCTAACCTTTCAATTAGTAGCCAAGGGCAAACCACTTGCACCCTCAGGGACCTGTCTGATCATTGCTGTTGTCTGGCCATTAAAGCTGGTTAAATGGAAATTCCCATTTAAAATTCACACAGAACTCAGAAAAGTAAAAGAGTATACATTGATTAATATTATAAGTGAGGCCATGAAATTGTTAAGAGAAACATAAAAACCACGAAGAAAGGAAAGAAAATATGCTTGATGACTTCTGTCTTATCTGATGTTAGGTTATTAGAATACCTTATTCTTTCTCATTTTCAAAAATCTACTACTGTGTTTCTAATTTCCCCCTTTCCTTACTGAAATCACTTATTCCATTTTATTTAAATGAAGAAAATGCAATTACAGGTAATTTTAATTTTCTTCATTATGCTTTACTACATTTTCCAAATTACCTACAATGAATATACATTACCTTTGCAATCAGAAAACCCTACAAATACCATTAGAAAAGGAAGAATCAGAAATCCAGGATCCAATGTCAAACAAATTATCACTTAAAAAGAAAATAATTAATTAGAAATAAAATAATAAATGGAAACAGCTATTTTATATCATTATTGCAGTGACACACTACTCCAGGCGTTAAAGTGGTTTAATAGCTGTAATATTACCGATTAGGGAAGAAATGTAAAATTAGGCTGAAATCATTTTTCAGTCTTACATGCAAAGCAACATGGCATGTCAATGAAGCCTTCCTCAGAAAATATCAGCTCAGACAGGATCTGATTAAAGCACACAGCTCCATTAAAAGTAAGCCTGCTAACTAGCTACAGTGCAATCTGGGAGAAACTGATAAAATTTTCTGACAGAAATCATCTTTATGTGAATTCTAAAAGTAGGGTCTTACTTCTTCGCAACCTACTTATCCCTGCATGAGCTAACCTGTCGGTCGATTCTGACTCATAGCGACCCACAGGACAGAGCAGAACTGTCCCATAGGGTTTCCAAGGATGTAATCTTTGTAGAAGCAGACTGCCACATTTTTCTCCCGCAGGGAGGCTAGTGGGTTCTAATCACTAACCTTTCAGTTAGCAGCTGAGTGCTTTAACCATTGTGCCACAAGGGGTCCTTATGAGCTAACTACTGAGGTTTATAATTTATAAGACAGAGAAACCAAAACTCTGGACCCATGAAGATGCCAGTATTTGCTGCTTATCGGCATCTGCTGTCAATATTTATCCCTTTGGTTAGTGTTGGCTTCCTGTATTTGCCCCAAATCCATCTAAGTCTACTTTTTGGAGAAGAGTTTTGTTTGGATCCTCTTTAAAATCCCTCATTGCCCAAATTTTTGCTCCAACTTATTTAAGAAAACACAAATAGGTGGTTAAAGCAAAAATATTAAATAAAGCATGTGTGGAATTAAAGTTGGAAGTGGGTACTAGATAATACTTAGAAAGCTACCCAGTTCTTTTCATGTCTAAAGTTCCACTAGCTCTGGGCTTATATACAAGAATCTTTAAAATAAATAAAAGCTAGATAATGCTTATATCCAGACTGAGCAGAAAACACAAAGTAGTTTAGACAATTTAGCAATGTAACTGGGTTTTGATCAGGTTTCAGGTACCATTCACATAGTTTTATATCTTAGGTTTCTTATTACTGCTACTATTCAGTGCAGTAATAAGAATCTTCTGCTTAGTTGTTTGGTATCCAATTGCAATGACAACAATAACAATAAAACAAAACCAAGAACTCTCAGCTTTAGATCAAATATTAATAACAGGTATCACAAGCAGTTTATTAATTCATTCTAGAAGAAAACTACACTGCAAACATCATTAAAAGATCAGCCCACAGCCCATTTAAAAGACACTCAAGTCAACACTTTAAGAAACACTGCTTGGGTTAGAGAAGTACTAAAAACATCTGCTTTTCTCACATTACCTGAGGTGCAATTTGCTGCTGCATGCCTGATCTCATATTGATGCCAACAGGAGCAGCTGCTGCAAACTGATTTAAGATAGCTTGTCGATTCTGGTGTATCAGCTAGAGAAAAACAAAATGAGGTATCACATTTCTACATACAAACACAGCTGTTACAGAGTCACACGGTTTTTACTGATTTATTTAAGGGGCCCTGGTAGCACAATGGTTAAGTGTTCGGCTGCTAGCGAAAAGGTCAGCAGTTAGAACTCACCATCGGCTCCAATGGAGAAAAGACCTGGCAATCTGCTCCCAAAAAGTTTACAGCCTAGGAAACCCTATGGAGCAGTTCTACTCTGTCACGAAGGGTCACTATGTGTTAGAATCGACTTGACGGCACACAACAACAACATCAAATATTTATAACTTGATGAACACTAAATATGGTACAGTATTCAAAAACAGAATATATGTCTGTGTATACATACATGCACGTGTATATATCATATTTTTTATAACATGTTAATGCTTAGTTAATTCCAATGAGTACAATATGGAGAAAGAAGAAACATCAGGTCTAGGTCTTAAAATATTGTGAGCAAAAAGTAAGTCTACAGGCACATTCTACAAAGTTCTAGAAGATGAATGGAAAAGCTGAAGTATTTCTCAACTGGGGGATGCCTGTCTGGTGGGTACATATTTGGGAAAAATCCAGTGTGATTTCAATAGCTAGACAGGATTATGTAAGAAACAAATGGTCTGAGAAAATGGACTATTTATTTAACTAGAAGAAGTAATTACTTTAGACCAGCATTTCCCAAATTGGTGTTCTAAAGAACATTGTTCTGCAGATATTAATAGATGTGCCAGGAAAATAGCATGCTGTGCTGTATTAAGTATTGGAAATGACAGGTTACACAAGGTGAAACAGATTTCTTTTCTGCAGTAATTTTATGAGCCTTTAATTGGCCAAAGCACACTGTGGATCTTCAAGAGGGGATACATAATGCAACTTATTTGATCATAAACCTTTTTTCTGACATAACCATTACAACTTTCTCCTAGAACAATCTTCTATGGAACACAATAGTTTGAAAAATGCTGTTGAGATCAGGTTTGGGGTACCAGGTCACAGGCATGCCTTAAATTTATCTGGTAACAAAACAAGTATCCTTGGAAGTGAAATTTCCTTGTAATCAATCTATAGCTTAAAAAATTCCTTCCTTGATAATTTGCTAGGAATAAACTGTTCAGAGAGATGATGATAATAATTTTCTTTTATATTTATGTTACTTTATAACATAAATCATATATAAAACATAATATATCACATTTTATATAATATAAAATACATTAATTATAAAAAAAACTTAGTATATCGAAGTTTGGAGGCCATAATGGTGAGTAAATTCCTGTCCTTTGGGAATCCCTGTCAAGTGACAAAGGCCACAACCCCACTGCAATGCACAAGTGCTGTATAGAGACATCTCCAGCAGTACAGAAAGAGCGACTAACTCAGCTTAGGGATAATGAAGGCAGGGACCAAGAGCAGAACTGAGCTGAACTGGGTCTTGAAGAATAAGAATGTGAGGTGGCCACGGGGATGAAACAGTTAACCTGAAGCAGAAGGAACAGCAAATATAAAAACCAGGAAGGGAGGCAATGAGAATAGGTGAAAATACTGAAGTTGTCAAGGAATTCATTTTACTTGTATCTATAATCAATGTCCATGGAAGCAGCAGTCAAGAAATCAAATGTCATACTGCATTGGGCAAATCTGCTGCAAAAGATCTCTTTAAAGTGTTAAAAAGTAAAGATGTCACCGTGAAGACTAAGGTTTGCCTGACCCCATCCATGCTACTTTCAATCACCTCACCTGCAAATGAAAGCTGGACAATGAATAAGGAAGACCGAAGAAGAATTGATGCCTTTGAATTACGGTACTAAATATACCATGGATGCCAGAAGAATGAACAAATCTGTTCTGGAAGAAGTACAGCCAGAACGCTCTTAGACGCAAGGACAGCAAGACTTCGACTCACATACTTTAGACATGTTATCAGGAGGGACCAGTCCCTGGAGAAGGACATCATGCTTGGTAAAGTAGAGGATCAGTGAAAAAGAGGAAGACCCTCAACGAGATGGACTGACACAATGGCTACAACAATGCACTCAAACACAGCAACAATTGTGAGGATGGCCTAGTACTGGGCAGTGTTTCATTCTGTTGTACATGGGGTTGTTGTACATTCTGTTGTACATGGGGTTGCTCTGAGTTGGAACCGAGTCCACAGCACTTGGCGGGTTCGAACTGCTGATCTTTTGGTTAGCAGCTGAGCACTTAAACTGCTATACCACCAGGGATCCTTTTTATAATAAACCTAAAACCAAACCCGTTGCTGCTGAGCTGATTCCAACTTATAGCGACCCTACAGGACAGAGTAGAACTGCCTCATAGGATTTTCAAGGAGCAGCTGGTAGATTTGAACTGCCAACCTTCTGGTTAGCAGTGGAGCTCTTAACCACTGCACCACCAGGGCTTCTTTTATAATAATAGTATTTATTAAGTGCTACTATATGCTAGGCATTGTGCTAAGAGCTTTACATGCTTTATCTCATTTAATCCACACAACTCCCTATAAGGTGAAGGAAATATTTATTAGCCTCTTTTTATAGGGGAAGAATCAGAGGCTTTAAAGGGTAAATCATCTGATTAAGGCAACCCACCTAAGTAGTTTAGAATTAGGTCTTGAAAGTATACCTAACTCTTATAACCATTATATCATACATCACACTGCCTCTCTAATATATTTCCTTCTTTCTCTCCTCTTCTGAATTAGTTTCAGAGAACTTCTTAAAAATAACAAAAAATTTTAAACCCTAAGCAATATACACATATGATCAAAAACCAAAACAAAATAAAACATATAATACAGAAGAATGAATAACAAGAAACAATCTATAGTCCCAGTCTGACTTCCCAGAGACAATGCTGTTGACCATTTGCTTTTTTAGTCCTTTTGATTATTGTTTATGTCTGATGCTTATACAACCTTACATATTTATTAAACTATGTCTACTCATTTCCTGTCATCACAGGAAAGATTGTCATAACTCACCCACAACTCCGAGCTCCCCATATAGTAATATCACTAGACTCCAATCTCTCAACTTCGAACAACATAAATAAACTTCAATTGCTGTTCCACCAATCATAAACAGTACCTCCTGATGCTCTATTTTGTAAGTTAGCTATGTTTCTCTTTACTAATTTAATAGTCAGATGATGTTCATCCTAAATTTTTTTTTATCTTGAAAAACAAAATTAAATTACTTTTTCCACTGTGGGTCTCAAAATACTTTGTTATGAACCGTCAGTCTTTAATCCAATGAAGGGGTCCCTTAAACCTTTCCTAGGATCAGACCAAGGATGGTTTTCTGAATCTTTCATAAGAGTTCAGGAAGTGGATCGACAACTTTATTATAGCAATCGGGCCATCTTCTTACTACAGATTGTGGCACATACCTTTTAAAATTATCAACTGCTAAGCAAGAGTACTTACCTGCTGTTGTCCCTGTAACCGCTGTTGTAGTTGAAGTCGGAGCTGGTTGGGTGCAGCTGGAGGTCTGTTTAGAGTTTGCCTGGGCTGCATGCCCATGCCAGGTGAAAAGGCGCCTCGGGGAGGTGTTACTTGAACAGGTACAGTCCCCAGTGAAGGTTTTTGCCTGACCATGCCTTGGAAAGGGCTAGGGAGATTGGCAGTAGGAGAAGGAGAAGAGTAAGGCTGGGAATAAAGGTTGGGTCTTTCTTCCATCATCAAAGGTGGTGTTGCTTGTTGTGGTGGAAATCTCTCTGATAATACATCTAATCCACCACCCTGTTAGAAAAAAGCCAGAACATTTTACAAATAAATTTCTGTCAATAAGTGACATGCTACTGTATACGATTTTGGATATCATGACAACAATGTTATCTCTAGAAAGCACCATCATAATAGATTCATACTGAATTCATAGTTTCACAGAGTTTTCTACCTAAAGGAACTGCTTAGGATAGTTGCTTCTGAAATGGAACAACAGATTAACTGAGATGGTTATGATTTCAATAAAGAGACGAAAATATAGTTAAAATAAAGGCCCTAAACCAATGAAAGGAAGCTAAAAGGTTTAAAAAGAATTTTATTGCAAAGCCTACGGATCAATATAATTTACATTCAATAGGCTGCCACGAAAAATAGGTTCCTAAAGGAGGGATCAATCAAGCATTTTTTAATCTCAAATCTAGAATTCATGCTTTTATCTTATTTTTAAAAAAATAGCTGATTTAACAGACTGCCATACAAGTTATAGCTTTCAAACTTTTTGACTGTTACCCCCTGTAAGAAATACATTTTAAATTGTGACCTGTTGTATACACAGACACACACATACACTGTGTGTAATCTAAAGGAGTTTCATGAAATGTAACTTCTCCTTTTTTATGGGCTCTGCACTCTAGTATTTTTATTCTACACTTACTATTCCATAAAAAAATGCTGATTGTGACCCACTAAATTGATGTCATCACCCCATAGTCTGAAAAATGCTAACCTGGAAGTTGGAATGTCATAAAATACATAGATTGAAGACAAACATGAATGAAGAATAAATCAAGTTTATCCTTGATTTATTTAATAAAATAAGAAGTGATTATATAAATCTGCATTCTATTCTAGCTGGAGATTGTAAGACCCTTTCCCATAGTGAACGGCTAAGACTTTCTGGTTTTTTAATCTCATGAATTGTTGTAACATTGTTTTGGTTTAAAAAGCCCATTATATAACTATATTTTGATAACTTTCACAAGGAGTAAATTCTAAAATTGCTAAAACATAGTTGGAACAATACTGAAAAATCTTGCTTAAAAATTATTTTCTAGGATCAATAGTATGGCATTTGAATTATGTCTCAATAAAGCTGTTAAAAAAAAATCATTTTCTAGCTTCTGAAGGCTGCATCATTTAAACAAAGTCAACTTTGGTAAATACCTGAACAAGTTTATCAATCCCCAGAGCTCTGTCTAGTTCAGCGAGCTCAGTTTCATCTTTGCCACTGAGGAAAGATACCAGCTGTTCAAGAAGAGCCTTCTCATCATTTCTTCCTTCTACTGTTGTTGGAGGACAGAGAAGCTCATCTAATTGTGAACTAATACACTGGCTGCAGGGTCAAAAGATAAGAAAGTTAAAGCTGATAATAGCAAGTAATTATTCAATCTTAAGAACATGAACACATACACCGTCTGAAAAAACCCCACTGCTATAGCGACCCTATAGGACAGAGGAGAACTGCTCCACAGGGTTTCCAAAGAGCAGCTGGTGGATTTGAACTGGTGACCTTCAGGTTAGCAGCTGAGCTCTTAACCACTGTGCCACCAAGGCTCCATTAAAAAAAAAAAAAAAATATATATATATATATATGCAAATCTGTTTCTAGAAAATTCTCTGTTGAGATGTTCTGCAATCAATTCTAATACAATGAAATGTTCTCTACTTAATGTACAGAAATTAAATATTTGGAATACAGCTTGAATATATTTTTCATATTTTGTCAATCACTGAACTTTGTTTCCATATTCTTCATGTTGGCTTACAGAAATAGCCTGAAAAACTAACCAAACATAGTTAAGAAAGGGAAAAGAATTTTTATCAAAAGTAAAAAATAAAAATCAGCCAAAAACTCAGAAAAAATCATTAGCCTATATTCATATTTATTCTTATTCTATTTATTCATGAATGCTGTTAATTGTTGATAACTGAACCATAATCAAAACAGTATGCATCATATTACTTAACTTTCAAAGACTATCAAATCATATTGATAACATGACATGATTATCATTTACAAAAGAAATCAAATTAGAAAAATGAAGCATGCTAGGTGTTAAACAACAAAACTAATTGTTCATTAATTACATGTAGGGCTATACGTACCTGTATTTTTATGCAAATAACAAGCACCTTCTACATTTATTTGCCAACTGCTCCCTCCCTCCTGGGAGGTATTCTCATAAGCTCTGCCCTGCCAACTTTTTTTACATGTTGCTGTAAAAAAAATTAGCATGGTTCATTTACGAAAATACCTTGTGGCAGGGGAGGGAGTCATTACCAAACAAACGTAGATGGTGCATGTTATCTGCATAAAAATAAAGTAGTCTAATCAAAACCATTACCAACTGATATATAAAACTTAGAATTATATAGAAAATAATACTAATATAGGAAAATGAATATAATTATAAAGATTGTTCTTTTGAGAAGGGAAGTGGGAGCATAATTCATAGTTAATGCTCTAAATCACACTCAATTCTTTGTTACCTTGTCTTTACTGTACTCTGTGTCAAGGAATAGTTGCTGTATAGATTAAGAAATTAAGTTCAAACCAAGATGGGACACTGAGCAGACAAAGAAAGTATATTCCCTCCTTATAGCCTCTTTTCTAAACAAAGAGTAAAGCTGGAAAAATAATTATTTATCTGAAAGCTAAAGAGCAATAAAATTGTTGTACTAAAGCCAATTTATCCACAGATCCCAGATATATCATGGCACTCAATCTAAACAAAGATATGAAATATAAAACAACAGCTGCTTACTATATCAATTTCTTGGTGATTACAACGTAGACTACTCTTGTGGTCATGCGGTAAATAAATCTCTTGAACTCAAGGTTCAACCTCCCCCACCCTTCCTTTTCACTAGACATTTACATCTATTAACATCTCACAAAATACCTATGTAGACTGGAATCCAGTTTGGGAAAAGTAGTTCTTTGTTTCAAAAGTTTGATCTGACACCTCATAAAATACAAAACATATTACTTACTCTTCTGGTTTATTCTGATTTACAGCTGCCACTGCATTATTTGCCCATGGAATCTGATCACCTGTTCCTTGTTGCCCAAATTGGTTATCAATTGCTTCCAATTCGAGCTCAGGCAACCCTAATTGAAGAAGAAAAGTCAAGAAGTCAGTATCACATGGGGGATAAGAGGTCAAAATTTTTCAGAAGTTATATATTGCACAGTAGATTGAGATTTCCCCTATAAAATACTGGCCCAGTGATACAAAGGTCACTTATTCAGAAACTTAAATTATCTGTAATGTGGCCACATAGTAAGAAATAAGCGAAAAAGTGAGAAAAAGTCGCTGAATTGAAGAAAATCTGATGTTAAAAAATTTGCACAAAGGTCAATGTTACCACAGGAGAATAACTCAGGACTTTGTCACAAACTATTTATTTCGAAGATAATCATAAAAGTTTTTGGTAACTGCTTTTTCAATCTACAGCACATTAGAAAATGCTGTAAGTAGGGACAGTGCTGTCACCATGGAATGAAAGCTGCAAACGAAAGATAAAATAAGTTCTATAAAAGGCAGGAACAACAACTAAAACAACATGGCAGTCTGGAGCCATTTAGTAAACGGACAAAGCTCTACAGTCATCAATCTCTGAACACAAGCGTATAATAACTGTATAATAACCAAAGCTTATAATGATGACAAAAAAAGAGGCTGAATTATGTTTTGTATTTAAGAAAACAGTATATGCATTTTAGAAAGTTTTTCTGTGGGAATTTTTTTTAAAGCTTTATGATTGTCTCTGTACTATTTATACTAGAAAAAAATGGAAATAAACCTAAATACCAGAAATGTAGGGACTGATTAATGAGTTATGGTGTAGATAGTTACAATGTGCTGTTAAATTTTTTTTAAAGCTTGTTCCAAGATACTATGTTCAGAATGATTCAATTTTTTTTTCTTTTTTATATTTTATTGTACTTCAGGTGAAGGCTTACAGAACAAATAGTTTCTCATGAAACAGTAGTAGACATGTTGTTTTATGACATTGGTTAACAACCCCACAACATTTTAACCCTACTCAACCTTTTTTTTTTGGTGAAAATACACATAGCCAAAGATACACCATTTCAAAAATTTCTACATACACAGTTCATGACATTGACTACAGGCTTCCAATTGTGCTGTTATTCTCACTTAAGATGAAGGCTTACAGAACAAAATAGTTTCTCATTTAACAGTTATTACAAATCTTGCCCTATGACAATGGTTAACAATCTCACAACACATCAACAATATCCTTACTCAACCTTGTGTTCCCTATCATCAGCTTCCTACTCTCCTTCTGCCTTCTGGCCCTTGTCACTGGACTCCTGTACCTCGTTAGTCTCATTTGGTTTTACCGGGCTGTCCACTCCCAGGCTGAATGGTGAACCTTGGAGGAAACTTCGCCACTGAGCTAAAAGGGTGTCTGGGGGCCATACTCTCG